CGTATAATTTAATAACAGATGTCAGAACTATACTGCATTTCTAAATGCAATCTTTTGTTAAGTCGTCGTGTGTTTCATAAAGTGCTCTTGAATCTCAAGTTAGTAGCTGTTCTTCAGAAGAAGTGTTCAAGCGAATTTAGACACCGTTCCCATTAGACTTAAAAATGTGAGTTTATTTTAATAAATCATTTTTTAATTATTTAAATAATTATGTTCGGATTCAGGCAGTGCTAACCACCGCTGAATCCGGAAAGATTCGAAAATTGATCCTCAGGGTGATGAGCCATCTGTAAGGCCAGTAAATTTTACATAGTTGTCCTTCCGTCCTTTTGGATGACAAGCAGTGCCTTTGTGCGAAGGTAGTGTCTTTTAAAGGTGCATTTTGCTCTTAAGTTTATTCTTTATTCCGTCACGAAAATGTAAAGCAAAAAATACGACGGGTTTTGCAAACGTACGACAGCATTAGATACAAAATAATTTTAGGTTCGATGATAATTAGAATAACAAAACGAGTGCTGCGTTAAATGAAATGTTTATATGATAATGTTTCCTACCATCGTTTTTCTATGCTTCAACTTTGTGACTGATTTGAAATATGCTTAACAGATATGTTTCAAACATTATTCTAATGATATTTTCCGTTTATTTACAGTAAATGCGATGTTCAGGCGAATAACCGAAACTGTGTGGCAGAAATTACCCGTTTCTGCCTACAGCACTTACAGCTAACGACTTCCACTAATAGAAAGCTACGAAGTTCCGCTGCAGATGCGCATAAAAATTATTTTTAAATTTAGTCAATCGCTGGAGCAGAGTTTACCCTATCAGCAACCAACCTGTTCTTCTCAGGCTCATCTACAAATTCACCTTATTTAAAATGACAACCCTAATTCGCATGTGTTTACTAGAGTGTGTAGCGCCCGTTAAAACGGTGTATTATCTGAGAAAACATTAATTTAATCAAACAATTAACAGACCTGTGCTATTCCAGAGATTGTGCCTTGGAAGGTGAGAACTTTGTTCGAGTATTGGCGTGCAAGGTCCTTAAAAATTCAGGTCAATTAAGGTCGAATTTCAACCAATAAAATACAGCGTACAAACCTGAAGGAATGCTTTGAACAACGCTGCGCCCAAAGTATGATAAAACATTCGCCACACTGCCACAGCCTGAAAATGGAAAGGCCTGAATAGACAAATAATTGCATGAACGCATATCGCTTACCTTCTTCGTGATGACTTCTCTATGTGCCAGGAGAATCTGTTTGTTGACCGGACTTGATGCGACAATCGGAAAATCGTCCATTTGTGTGCGATCATTCATGAAAGTCGGTAGAATGCTTTGCAAGAACATTAGCTGTTCCTTAGAACGTAAAAATTTGTTGTTATAATGCCATTGATGTAGCATTTATAGAATGGAATAAAGTTAACGCAGAGCTCAGGTAACTAAGAGGTATATACTTTTCTGTAATGCACAAATAAGAATGCTATTCACCTAATAAATCAAGGAACGTTTAAGCAATTATAGTTACTCAATCTGAATAACATGGATTTACGTTTCACAAGAATGTTTTAAATGACAATAAGGCGACGGCATGTCGTTGTTGTTTGCTGCTTATTGTTATCGCTGAGGAAAAGAATCTAAGGTAGGAGCGAACAGCTCTTACTATAAGTCTGAGAGGACACTTTAACTGGTCACTATCAGCAGATGCAGTTCAGAAGGATGCGTAAATACCGCTTCCTTGCTTCTAGTCATCTAGGAGACCATTTAAGCAGGCCGCGGCTCCATGGCATTTGAGCTCCTACAGCGCATGTTTTCGAACCCGCTGTTCCCCCTCCCTCCATCACTAGGCAAGTCCTAACAAGGGTTTTTCTGCCATGACACATAGGCATAATTATATAGAAAGATTAAACCCGATCTTATGGGTTTACTAGCATACTGCAAGTGTTGATTGTTCGCCGCTTCAATCCGGAATCAAAAACTGAAAAGGACTACGTATCTTAGCGGCGATATCAATATTCTGCACTGAATAGAGAATTATGAATAAGAATAATCAAAAATTCATTGAATTACTGATGGATGACATGACAAACGGAAGAAAGTAACCACCATTGGGATGACTCAGGTCTGGGAAAGCAGTTGTCTTAATGTCGTGAAAACTTGTGTATTGAAGTCACCAACGCAATCAGCACTAAATGATATTTGTTTTGTAATTTATGAACTGCAAAGCGAATATTAAATTTATATCAAAATGAAATATGGAAGAGACACGTTCATTGAAATGATGTATTGTACTCAAATCTGTGGCTTGGTTTAAAAACGAATGAATTGGCTTACCAAGTTTTGTTTATTTCCTTCCATTCTATGACTTTTGACGATGAGATTTCCCAAAAAGCGGCTTAGGCTGTCTCTCAGCGATGGTTCCGTTATTATGAATTTGCTTAGGAAGCACTAAACAAAACATAGGCATTAGCATAAAAGTAATGTAAAAACGACTGAGTGCTGACCATTTCAATGACGGCTTCGGACACAGCTTGAACAACGTTGTCTCTGTGCTGTTCCCAGCCGGTTGCTGAATTGTACACAAGAACTTTCTCGTCACAGATGGCCAATTGTTTGAATACAATACACTTGCCAAACAACGACGGTACAGCAAGGATAACTGAAAATAATACAGAATCATAGATTTTTGTAAGCATCAGTGTAACCCAATGTCAAGACAACATGACTCGAACAAAACGGCTCTTTCAACTGGTCTACAAAACAACATTGCATCAGTACATGGCGAACAGGGTTATGCGGATATCTATTTTATATCCTCATTTATCTTGGCAGGTTAAATATTTTGGCTTCAACATGATCTCATGCCATTAATAACATAATTATGTCGGTTCGGATGATCTTTGCAGTCCATGAACACTTATGAAAGAAAGGCCTAGTCGTGTGGAACTGTCAATG